CCCAAAACCCCAAAACCCCAAAACCCCAAAACCCCAATCCCATCATAATAGATCTAAATTAGGAATAATAGTAATTAATTTACTTCCACGTAATTAAAATCCTAGTCTATAATAACCAAATTTTATTTTAACCCTAGTGATTAGATATTAAAACCTAGTGAACAGGCGGATAATGATAAGATTTTAAAGTTCAACTGACACTAGGTTGTCACTATAAATTAAAAGCAGAACAGTTTAAGTTAATAACTTTTAAATATCATGAAACTTATCAAACACACAATAGTTCCCTTGCTACTTTTGGGGATTTCCCAATAATCAAAGGTAAAGCAAGGCTAAGGATAGATGCTACTCAAGAAACTATTAGAAATATAAAACGGGGAATAGTCATAATAGTTGAAGTCTCACTATTGCACCTTTAATATGGATATTATTAAAAAGGGACCAGCTGACTATGAGAAAATACTCGGTAGTGGAGTACAATTTACTGACCCAGACTTCAAAGCAAACCAAGACTCTATTTACTGGAGTGACTATCCAAGACCAAGTAGTGCAAGTTTAGCACCTAAGACTCCATATCTCCAATGGTATAGACCTAACCAGAAATACGTTTCTTACCCACTTTTCAACTAATGGGTAGGCGAATACGATATTACTTAAGGCTCTGTAGGAGATTGCTTTTGGCTATCCCCAGCATAGTCAATGGCATAAGATCCAACTAGAATCAAAGGCCTGTTCATTAATTAAGACTATCCGAAGGAAGGCTTGCTAGCACTCAAGTTCTTCGTTAAAGGAAAACCAGAGATAATCACAATTGACGATCTACTACCGTTTTACAATGGCTCTCCATTTTTTACTAAAAGAGCTGATGATGGTGACTTCTGGATGCCATTCATTGAAAAAGCATTTGCAAAGCTTAACGGTAATTATGAGGCTATAGGAGGAGGATGGTAGTCTGAATCATTCAGAATCTTAAATGGAGCCCCTTCTAAGTTCTTTATGAATGCTAATGTTGATAGATACTCTGCTTGGTCAATTATCTCTGATGCACTATCAAAGGGAAATCTTGTTGGTGTTGATACTTCATCTAATTATAACTCATATTATGGTCTCGCAACTGGTCATGCACACACAGTGATAGGGCAGTATTTATTGAAGGATATATTTGGAAATGTTTAGTATAAACTTTATCGCATTAGAAATCCATGGGGCTCAGATTCTTACACTGGACCCTGGAGTGATAGCGATTCTAGATGGACTACTTATTACAAATCTTAGTTACCTTATGCAAATGATAATGATGGCTATTTCTATATATCAGATGATGATTTTGTTAAAGCTTTCTTCTATTTCACTGTCAATTACTTTAAAAAGGGCTGGAAAACTAGCTTTTATGAGAGACTTGATGATGATGGATCATAATAGTCATACACCTTTACAACCACTGTAGCATAGGAAATATATATTGGAGCTGATTTTTATGATGCTAGAATGTATGCAACTGGATGCAGAAATGGTCAAACAACCAATGGTTTACTATAACTTTTGAAAGGCACTACAGTCTTAGATTAAGTAACTTTCTCTGATTAATTAGGATATGGATTCTTGTATTAGCCAAGCTTAGCTGCAGGAAACTACACTATTAGATTTAAACCAACATGGAGTGCATATGATGAGAAGGATTATACAGTTTCAGTTTACTCTGCCAATCAAGTTATGATCTTCGATGCCCAAGGCAAAACTAGCAATACCACCTACAATCTTATGACCACTCTTTCATAAGTAATGTCAAATCTGACTCCATATCCATATGAAAACGGTGGATGGTACTTTGTAAGAAAGGGCTACGTAGGATCAACTAATAATGATACCTATTTCTTTTAATTCGGAGGTCAAACAAACCTGTACAACTTAAATGCCACAGTCTCTTTTACTTCTTATTCTTCAACTATCTATACACCTAATTCAGGAACGGTATAAAAGGTTAAGAACTCTGATGGAACTATAACATACACTCATTTGTGCTAAGTCTTGCCTAAACAAGCCATCAATGACTGCGAGTACATCTTAGACGTTAATAATGGAGTAAAATGGGCTTGGAACCTAGTAAGCTGGAATTATGCTTGAATAATTCTTAATTAAATAAGTCAAGTATTAGAGTTTTAATTTCTTTACATTATATCAATATTATTATCACACTCGGGGTTTTGGGGTTTTGGGGTTTTGGGG